CGCAGTGATACACATATCTTTGCACATGTAGCAGGTTAATTTGGAATCTTGGCGCAGAGGTAGCATAAAGATGGCAGAAGGAGTCGGGAAAATTAATGTTCACATTAATAATATGGCAGATTATTTATTACAGCATGTTATTAATAAAATACCTTTTACAAAAATGTATTTGCTCTAGTCAGATCGGCTCCTTTACATCAAGGACCATTCCTCATTCATGGTAGATAGGTTAACAAGAAGAACAAGGAACCGTTACACATCCTTGTAATACACGTACGGGACTGAGAGGAATTGTGAAGATCTACTAAATGAATCGAGCAACCTCCACTCAGAAATCTTACTTGGATAGATTTAATATATAATAATCAAAATAGTCAGGAATACTTCACTAGACAGAAATAACACAAAAGAAATCCATTTTGTAGCTTTATGCTTTTTATCTACCGAAGGAATCGAGCAACATCCTCTCACCGAACTAACATAGATAGATTTAATATATAGTAATCAAAAAAGTCTGTAATATTTCACTAGGCAGAAATAAGACAAAAAGAAATCCATATTGTAGCTTTATGCTTTTCATCTTTTTGATATGTATTTGTATTTAAAATCTAAATCATGTTAATGAAAGAAATGTATAGAAAAAGGGTCTCGTCCAGATTTGTTGAAACACTATAAGACATTTTTATCAACAGTTTTAAAACTAAAATTTTCAGAAGAACAATTCTTTCATAACATTTGTTATATAATCACAAAAATAGAAAAATACGGGTTTAATTTTAGCCTTGAACTTCATGGCATTACCTTTTAAAACTGGTTGGAAGAACTTCTACCTATGGGTCAAGAAAAATAATTCTCAGAAACTTTTATTAAAATGTATTCATTTGTTATTTTACACCAAACCGCAAATATACGTGAGAATTGTTTGTAAACTTTCAACTGAAAAGGTCAGAAATTTACAGCTGAAAAGGAATCCATTCTGTGTGATCTTCGAAAAAAAAACTGTCAAAGAAATTGTCTTTTCCCCCCAGAACAGTACAATCTTTCATATAAATAAAGAAATCCATAAAATTTTCACTATCCTTCACGATATGCTATATTTAAAATGCATCTTCTAATATTTAGAAACATATTTATATAATATATTTTATCAATTTGATAACACGATTAACTGTATGTTTCGTTGATTCTGAATACAAATGTATAGATTTTGTTGGAAGAAGAATTTCGGGAGAGTTCATCGCATCAAAATTCTGTAATATAGAATTCTTGAAATATGTTTAACTTTTTTAAAACTATTGTATACCTTTTTTCCTATAGAGTAAGGAAGCAATAAGTGAAGTCAATTAATCAGTTTAGTTTCTTTCAAAGGGATAATATCTAAAATTACATAGAATTAGGTAAACGGCAGTCTAAAATTGAATTCAAGTCCAATCATGATAAGGATACTGAAATCATTAAGAAAACTTTTTAAAAACTGAATCCCATTAAAATCTCAGAACATATCGAAATACAAAGTCCCCTAGGTTAATGTTGTCGAAGTAGTTATGATAACCAACTACTCCTTAAATCTCACTTGTTTATAAACTGAAGAATTCGGTTTATGATTTCAATAATATGGTGAACTAATCATATGTAAATATGCCTTCAAAATTTAAATTTATTTCTGTTTTTCATTTAAAAGTCGGCCTGGGATGGTCAACGTGAGTGACTTGAAAGTAAGCCTTACATCTATCATTGCTTTCCTCAACCACGGAAAGGACATAAAAACAACACTCAGCGTCGTAGGTCAGCCCTTTTTCTTTTAGAAATTCACTTGCACTGAGGCTTCGCCTTATTTGAATTTCAAATTTCGTTTTATGCTGCTTTTGCAAAGACTTATTAAAGGTGACCTCTATGAATTATGAATAAAGGTTAGAGTTAGATGTACAAGCACCGTTATAGATTTCGAAGACGTTCACCACAAATACGCACGATGGAAGATTGCAATTTGTAATTCTAATTATCAATTCTTATTTCACGATTTAAATTTGATTGCATAGATTTTGGACTCTGAGAAGTCACAAATTTGAATACACACAATATGTTATTTATTTTCAAATTATTTTTGCACTTTTTGTAAGATAAGGCAAATCCACTAAGACATTTTGCATTTTAAATATAGCTAAATGCATTTTTGTTTACTTAACCTATCAAAATAAGTTATTTCAACAAAATTAATCTAAATACCAAGTGATTTTGGAATTGCCTTTACCTTTCCAATCCTATTTCCTAATTAAACAAAATATGTTATTGACAAAATGCTTCAATTTCAACTTTCAATATAAGTAAAAGTGATTATAAGATGAAGACTCTTGAGAATTATACCCTGAAAATTTTATTTTTAAAATTTTGCCAAAAAATGTATAAGTTGATTTGCTTTAGCACCTTTTTGCTGTAAATTATCCCTCACTGTAACACAGAAAATCTTGCTTTCTGCAAATTCTTTTAATATCTGATCACACACACACAATCAAGCAAAATTGATAATGCTTGATATTTTCCTAAACTTCTTTTCCAATCAAAACAATGAATGATTTTATTTAATTCGATAATTTGACAATTATTTATCCTTATAAGTCATATAGTATCTTATGATCTCTTGGAATTTTACAGTCTAATGTTAAACTTGTGCTCTTTAAAAAATGATTTAATTTCAGAATTGACGTTACCAGATAATGCATGTGATTTTCATTATGCATTAGTAAGGATTGTGATTATCTACGAGAAAGTGCACATATATGCATATTGAACAATTTCAAGTGTTATATAACATTTATCCTAACAGAAATTCTACAGAAACAGTAAATTCTATCTCATTTTATAGCAATTAAAAAAATGAATATGTCACTGCTGATGGAAGGAAATCTAGAGAATAACATCTTTAATATTTTTTTCATAAAAAATATCATTTACACAAAAAATGCTATCTTATTTTTTAACATGCATTAATTTCAAAATATCTCGAGAAGATTGGTGATCACAAGTTTAAATTATAGTATATGGTGCCTTTTTGAACTCACTGAACTCTTTACATAACCAAGTATGCCCATATACAAATCAAGCAATGTTTGAATACTCCTATATAAACACTTATTTTGTACTTCAATCTACAGATTAAAATAAGTCACTAAATAATTAATTTTACTAGATAAACTTTAACTGCTGGAAATAAATGGCAGAATTTTTTAAATTGATTTTAGGTGGTTGTATTTTATTAAAATTCCCTATTCTAAACTCATACTATACTAAATTAATTATTTATATAAGAAACTATGATTTGACAAAGGTACTTTTTACACCATAAAGAAAAAAAATATGAACTTTAAACATTGCATGTTTAGCAGGTTTTTAAAACAAAAGAATACGTATACAAATAAAAAATTCGTCATTTTCATATAATGTCCTTAGCTTTATTGAATACACTTATGCATGTTAACCTTTAATTGTAAAATTCTCATAAAATTAATGTCTTATTTGAACCAACGTTTAATTTTAGCATAGATGTTGTTTTTTGTTTTCACATTAATATCCTAAAACACATTGTAAAGGGTGAACAAATATAGTGCTACATTTCTGCGATTAAATAGAACTCTAATAAATTCCCTTGCTGTTAGTTATTCCTCAAACCTTCCGTATTTCCTATCCCCCCAACGCACACACACTCTCTGAAAATGTATTGACTAATCACAATATGTAAAATGGCTGTTAAAAAATTGTTCATTTGAATTTTGAACTGGAAATTTTGGCATAGATTAAATAAAAAAAGGCACCCCTTCCTTTTGATGAAAAAAATATCTGTTATGGATATTTGATCTGCAATTCGATTAATTATCAATGAAGTATATTCTTACTATTGTCAGTTAACTTCTCTCCATACTAAGTTAAGTGATTGTCCTATTTATAGTTTATAGTAGTGGCTGAAAAACTTTTCCTGACATCAATAAGAATTTTTTTTGACAGATATAATAGTTGATCATGAATAAAATATAATTGATTGCCCTTAATGCATATTCAGATACTGATATTTTCAAAATACATCAAACTTTTTTGCCTAAGAAATAACTATTTCACATTGTACACAGGTTTGTAAAACAAAACACACAAAAAATATATTCATCTAACATAGCTTACGTTGACATGTACTAACATCAACACGTACAGACAAACAGACCAAAACATACTGATATAAAGTTTTACAAATTGGTTGCTAATGAAGGCATCTTCGATTTATTGTTTTGGTAACAAAAGCTATGCTAGTCTATTTGCCAATTTCGTAGTTGTCGAAACAACCTTGAAAGTATCTATCCTGTATCAATATTTATACCAAATTCATATCTCTGACTGAAATGTCCGTATGAATATTTTTATAAATTATCATTAACGTATTTCCAATTAAAAAAATTTTAAAATCTCAATGAGGATCACAATACTTTGCAATCTAATCTATTCAAAAATTATACAATAGAAACAAAGTTATGTTATCTTAAGACATTTAAGGTTGACATTCTTAATAGAGCATAAAATTGAATCTTAAATGCTCTTTTGAACGATGATGTGCCGAAAACAGGCGGGGAAACTGTGATTGGCACGCTAAGTTCCATGGACTGGTCATTTCTCTCATTCTTACCTTTTGGGTTTTTAAAGCAAATATTCATTATGCAAAATAATACATGGGAATCGTATATTCTCGTAACACGCTGCCTTAAAGTTATTTGACAGGACTTTGTAGCAACAACGTACTAGTGTAATTAATTATGTACATGGAAATTTTCTTTTAGAAGTTGTTATGAACTGTACTTGGATGGTGTGTTGTTAGTAAGGTGCTCTGCAACAGTTTAATAAAACGTGCCGAGAAATGTGTTCGAAGACTTTAGAATGAATGCATTCATCTTTGATTGACGCATTACTTTAATTAACATAATGTTGTAAAACAATATAGAATACACATAAATTGAGCAGTGATGGGTGACGAGGATCTCCAGAAAATTAAGGTTTTGCCGACTGATCAGGAAAAAGAATTCGGATCTGTCTGGCGAAAATGGATCACACGTAAAATTTCAGAGGAGAAAAGTGTCTCAAGAAAACCGAAGTGGCGTAACTTATTAGATTCTCATCTAAGAAGAAAGCTTAAGAAATCATCAGAATCTGAAAATTCTTTGGATTCAATCGAAAAGCAAGTTGACAGTGTTAATAATGGATCTGATTTAATCAAAAAATCAAATATGTCTGAAAATATTGTGACTTCTTTGAATGATGGTGATGAGGGAGATGAACATCATGATTACATTCACGAAAAACTTAAAGGAAATTTACCAAATCCAATAAAAATTATTCCTAAGTTTCACAGAACATTCTCTCTACCGGATGCTGGTATGAATTTGTCTAGTCCCATTGTCGAAAATGTGTATATTCCAACAAAGGATTATTGTCCATACCTTGATAAACCCCCTAGGAAAAAACGAATCAACAGTGATCCAAACGATGTTGTTCCAATTGTATCCAATGATATAAAGGATGACACAATCGTGATTCCGGAGAAGGATTACTGTCCTTATCTAGACAAGGCACCACGTCCTCAAGTGAAGCAAAATGATTTTGAAGTCCGTAAGTGGATATTGAAAAATGAAGCCGGAGAGGACGAGGAACTTCAAGTATTCTTTCAGGATAACACCTCCTTAAAAGATAGGCGGGTCTCTGTAGGGAAAAACTTGGCTCCAAGATCTAATTCCCTTCCCGAAATATCTTTCACACGCGATAAGCCACCAAAATGGATGGAACTTGTAGATATGAAATTAGGCTTCGGAGATTTTCCAGATGATATTGATAGCATTGTGGAATCTACTACAGAAACAGAAATAACGGAAATAAAAAATAAACCTAATGAGACTGTAGATCAAGAAGTGTTCAAGGTAAGTAAACCATACTAACAATACTGTTCAATTTAAATTACTGGTCAATGTCTAAGAAAGAGTTACATAATTTGCATTAGTAGCAAAGTAATGATGGTACGTGATAAATGTAACATATCTGTAGGTATTTGAACGAAATCAAATAAGAAAAATGCTGATAAAAGAATATATTTTCAATCGCAGTTTGTCTGAGATTCATTTAATAGATAATATTAAGTCATGAATAACCCATTGCTAATTTAGTCGTGAAAATAAGATTGAATGACTCAAGATAGACATGGAATATCATTAACATAATTTAATAATCAATTGGTAATATTTTTTCTATTCTTCATTGAAATGTTTTATTGTTAGCCATCCTTTTGTATTAAAACATATGCGCAGTAAAAGAGATGTAATATGCCATGTAAGTTTGGAGACCACCATAGTTTGATATTGCAATATTACAGAAATTACTGTATACACTGAACATATTTTTTTAAATTGAAGTTTCTTTAATGATATTCACAATATCTTTTCTAAATCTACTTTTGTCATTATTACAAAATGTAAGTAGAGTTATCTAATCCCATAGCTAAAATCCATGTTCTTGCTATATTTACGATTTCGTGTGGATGTAATTATATTATAACAATTCTATTGGTTTTTATTAGTAATCGATTAAATCAGTGAATACATGATTTTGAAATGTTATCGACTGTGTTAATGATTATATTATAAATAATCAATTGATTACAATTAATTACTTTTTGATAATTTTCGTTGCATGAACAGAAAAGTAATATCATTTAACTCAAAAGAAATAATTATGTGTTTACTTATATAAATATCGTAAAAACACAATTCACAAAAATTCGGGAAACATGGTCTTTCTAGTGCAACAAAAGACAATGGGTATTTCAACTTTATTTTGCGGCTCTCTGTTTTTAATATCTTTATTGTGGACAATTTGTAGAAGTGATGTTTGTTGACTTTCATTATTCCCATATATTGTAGAACTTTTCCACGTCGATAGAAAAATTTAGTATGAATTCTCTAGAAATAAATATCCCAAATATTTATCAACATTTAGCTATGTGTTTCCCTAATCATTGCCTTCAGTAATACACAATTAGATCAAGTGTTAACAGGGATTAATTATGATGAATGACTTCAGTTATAAGAATAGGTATAACAATGAAAAATAGCTAATTAGGTGATTGTGATACTCAGGTACATGTGTCACAATTACTATAATGGTGATCCTCTGTGTTTGGATTACTTATCATTATAAATTCTTAAAGAGTTGCATCCTTCTTTTCAGTATTTCTTTTTCCACAGATTTATTTTTAGTAGAGATAGAAAAATTCATACCGAATACAAAAAATGCACAAAACTGATTAATCCGAAAGCTTATTAATTAAAAAGAAGTAATTATACAGAAGAAATGCATGTGTGTACATGTTGCTTTTATTTAAAAGTGAAAAAGTTTTTTTTATTAATAAAAATAGTAGTAGTAGTAGTAGTAGTAGTAGTAGATGATATACATGTATAGAATTTTGAGGAGTAATGTCAAAAATTGGCTTTTTTAAGTATCACCAGTGTATATGAAGAAATAATCAAAACGTAATAAAAAAGTTCAGGATTACAGGCATTTGTTTTGGGGGGTATTTTAAGAGAAATCGATTAAATCAAATTACATGTAATCAAGTTCAATACTTTTGCTGATCTATGATTTCATCTAATTACATGAAAAATGTAATCGATTACGGCAGGTTAGTAATTGCAGTAACGGTTACCCTATGTCTTCAATGCGTTGAATGTTTTTTTTTATCAAAAATATGTCATTTCTTTTCATGCTTTTCTGAAATAAATAGTGATAAACACTGAATAACGACTAAATATTTAACGTTACTTGATCGTTAAACTTTTGAGGTGATTATTATAATTATTTTCTAAAAATTGTTTTTTGATGTAATGAAATGCAAATTGCCGTTTTTAGTATCCTTTCTTCTCTTTGTATATAAAATGAAATTATATTTACAAATCAAGTACACGATAAAAATGAAAATGAAACAGTACAAAAGTTATGTGACAGGGTTGCACGTATTGATGCTAGATGAGTGGCATTCTTAATATCTAATCTTTTGTGTTGCGATTCATTATCAATTCTAAAAGAACACTTATTTATAAACTTTAATGAGAATAGAAACATCTAACTCGGTGTAATTACATTTCTTGCCATGTTATATGTTTGTGATAAATGTTTCTCATTAAATTATAATAATGGAAGTTAAATGACCCTAAATGACCTCTACTGTAATTGTTTTATAAACTTTCAACATTCTCTTACTAAACATTGTATATTTTCATGTGTAGAATAAATTACTTTATCAATTTGATGAGTTTTCCACATGTAAGAAATACAGGCATTTTGACATCATAGACAGTTGCTTTTTCAATAAAAGAGGAACTCGTAAATTTACTTACCTTGTCATTGGTCATTTGCAAAATTATTTTGTTAAAAACATTCTGATTGTACACACAGGTACTCTGAAAGTAAATATTAAAAAGATGCTTGAGTTTCTGATTGACAACATCTTTGTAGTTTTTGGAGATCATGTCTTTCAATAGTCCATCGGTATTCCCATGGGTAACAATTACGCCCCGTTATTAACAGACCTATTTCTGTATTCATATGAAGCAGAATTTATTTTAAAAAACTTATACATGAGAAGATTGATTGATTGATTGTGTGTTATTTTACGTCCCGTTCGAGACTTTTTCACTCATGTAGAGACGTCACCATATACCTGCAAATGGTGACGTCTCTATATGAGTGAAAAATTCTCAACCGGGACGTAAAACAACATACAATCAATTAATCATCATTATATGAGAATTGAATAATAATATTGCAATGAAACATAACCCAAAAGGTAATGTATGTGAAATATTTTGAAATATACTGTCAAAAATTTAAAAAAAAAAAAAAAAAAAAAAAAAAAGGCGCAGAAACAAATATTTTTGGCAATATGCTCGTGCTGATTTTATAGCAATGAAGCATTCTCTCGTCTTAAAAACAATTAATGATCATTTGAAATAATTTGTATTGTTTGTTGTGGATTTTTTAAAGATCGATCAAAGTTTGTTATCTTCCCCTTTTTCATTAGCTATGTGTAGCATAAATTCATTAAATATATAGTACAAATGTTTTCTTTTCAGTTCTCTTTATCTATATATAAATAATATCTATACTTCAGATTCAACATTTATTAGTTCTTTGTACCGAGACATTCAATTTACACAGCTCTTACAGAACATGCTGAATACTTATGCGAAGTATGTTTATATGCAATTTTAGAGTATTTGATACGTATATACAATGTCCCTTAAATACATAACATCATTTTCATCTTTTACCATTCATTGGTAGGAATTATTTATACAATCATTTACGTAATGTTTTCAACATAAGTTACCTTGAATCATCATTTTCATATTGAGCTTCGTTATTGGAACACAAATAAGATGTTGTTGTATGGGCCATTTAACCTGGCGAAAGTTAAGTTAAAACTCTAAAAGTTTGTAACTCTTCCTGTATCAAACTAAACATAAATATAGAGTAACCACGCATACAAGGTTCATTGAAGGGTAATGAATTTGAGCAATTCCCCAGATCTCCTCATTTAATATAAAGTCTTTTCAAACTATCGACACATATGCTTTGTAGACAACAAAGTGTACAAGTCTGGAATAACTAAGATATTCATATTGTCATCCTTATGCTTATGCTCCGGATTTTTAACGTAATTCAGCAATTAACTTTTCTGTAAGAGTTATGGAGTTTGTTTGAGCATGTTCCACGTACGTACTATTTCTAAAACAAGGCAGGCGATTGACAATTAAGTTGATGACACAAGGATATCAACAATCTCGTTAAAAATCAACATTTCGCAAATTCTATGGTCGATACAATAACCTTGTTGCGAACTTGTCTGTCGTTCGTCGAATGTCGACTTAGGTCTTTCATACAAATTGTTAGGCCATTATTTTGACACTGAATTGCCTATAGTTATTCCGTTTACTCGATCTTGACAAGGAGCACACTGTGTGTGACCGGTCGACAGGGGTTGCTTACTCCTCAATGACACCTGGCCCCATTTCTGTTTTCGGAGCTTCGTGTTGGCTGCTCATGATTTGTATTATTTAAACTGACTTTTGAGAATGTTCGCTGTGTGCAATCTTCACATTTCATGAATGAAAGGGCTAACTAAAAAACTACTATTTGTATATAACTACGAATAGTCATATTTTTTATAAGGTAGAGCAAATTGAACTTGTAGCATACCTTCTCTCAAACCATTGTCTAAAGATAACCTGGTTTTGTTTTATTCTGAAACATTTGTCATCATTTTCACCTTAAATGTATAGAAGAACTAAAAAGGAGTGAAATATAGAGATAATGAACGTTAATCGTGCATAAAATTTCAAATCAACAATACAAGTTAAGAGCACTCACGGACCCCTGAAATCTTCAGAGGCGGGAAATGCCATGCCACATATCTTTCTCCAATAGTAGTAGGTATTATTTGAAAATGAATACTTAAATAGATTTTTTTTATACTTGATAGATATGGAAGACGTAATATATTTGATGTATTAGAATGTTCCTTTCTAGAGAAAAATGTAAATTATTTAAAAATTCAAGATAATGTTATAACAACATTTGATGTATTAGAATGTTCCTTTCCAGAGAAAAATGTAAATTATTTAAAAAGTCAAGATAATATTATAGCAAATGTTTCCCCTGGATTAGCTTCAAACGTAGTACATTGATGCAGAAGACAGCGGGGGTGTTTCTTTGACCTTCACTCTGTATCATATATCAATGATTAGGTCACTGGGTAATGGGATTTTAATAATAAGAAATTTTAAATAATTGATTTTGTTATGTATTAATTGTTAACCTTGAAATTAATGATTGATTGATTGATTGAATATTGTTTAACGTCCCTCTC